TTCAGATTCTGAATTGAAAATTTGTTGTCTTTTGAGTTTGCCTTAAGATTTAAATTGACATTTCAGAAAATATGTGCTCTGAATATTGGATGGTCTTGCATTGATGAAACTGTGTTTCTATGTGCAGCCAGTCATCTACAAGTCTTGGTAGAATGGAAGTGTAGTGTCGCCATGTCTCACTGGACAGTTGAAGCTTTGTTGGATGAGATCTCTCACCTCATCACCTTGTATGAGGTGAGGAAGGATGCTGATGCGGTTCTCAAGATGGCAACTTGCATTGCCTCTAAGATCACAAGTGCTAGTGAGATCACTCCCTCAATGGGGTTAAGCTTTGCCAAGCAGTGGATAATGCACCACTCAATGATGCTGTCAAGGCTACTTTGCACAAAGCCTTGGATGAAAAAGTCATGCATGGTCTATTGTCAAAGGGAGTGTTATCCAAAGGCACTTTCAATTTACTCCAAGCCCTTGACATGTGGGAAGTGTTACAAGGCTATGTGGAGCAGTGGCACTTGCCTCATGCTGTCAGCAACCTCAAGCTCAGTGCTCTCTTTGAAGCAAAGCGAATTAGCAAACACAAAAAGAGCCAGAAGCTCAACAGCACTGCCAGTGAGCTTTTGTGTGTACTACCTATCCTTGCACACTTTGCAAGGGTTGCTTGTCTTCCCACTGGCACACACACCCAGGAAATTGAGGCATTCTTGTCTTTGGTGCTGGTAGTGGAAATGCTGCAAGCCTGTTCTTACATCAGTGTGCAGCCTGCTGCCCTTTTAGTAGCTATTGAGAGATCTTTGAAGCTTTGGGTGGACCTTGGGTGGCATATGCTGAAAAAGCACCACTGGCTTCTTCACCTACCTACATTCCTGTCCAAACACCACTGGCTTCCAAATTGTTTTTGCATGGAGAGAAAGAATAAGATGATCAGTCGCCATGCAAACATCATACAAAACACCAGAAGTTTTGAGAGGAGCCTTTATGAGGAAGTTACAACTTTTGAGCTGGAGAAGCTTTCTGCAGTTGATTGTTTTGCTACAGGTGTGTATTTGATTGATCCCAAGCCATTGACCAAAAAGCTCAAAGCTTTGGCATCTGCAATGTGGGATGATTGCCAAGACACTTTGCAGACCTTCAAGGCCACCAAAGGTGACGTTGTGCTTCTACAAAGTGCAGCCTCCAAGTTTGATGCTGGTGAAGTGCTTGTGTTTCTTTCTCACTTGGGAGAAAGCCTCTGTGTGGTCAAGGCCTTGCAGCTTCAACAGCTGCATCCATGTCATGCCTTGTGGCAAGAAGTTGACACTTTGGTAGCAGTGCCTTTGCACACTGTGTTGTTGGCAGCGCCCTTTGCAAAAGACCACAGAGGCATCACCACTCTGACTCCTTGGCACCTACGATGAATGCCTGTGGTGTCAAAACATTGCTTTTTTTGCATCAGACAGCTTGCTGCCTTTTGTCAGTCAAGGCTTGTGTCATTTTTTCACTCATTAGCCATGTGGCTTCATGAACTTTGTGTGCATGTCATTAGTCAAGTGGTGCATGTCATTAGCCAAGTGGCTCAGTAACCGAAAAACCACCATTTTTTCTAGCAAAACTAACTTTCCTAACTAGTTATAACTTTTTCATAATTTTAACATAATTTACTTAATTATGTTAACTAGTTATAAAACCACAGCCCATCTAAGACCTCAACGCCCCTGGCCGGCTGTCGGGCGTAAGCCCTTAAATAAATATATATATATATATTTATTTTATATATGTATATAGGACATTTATGCTTGAAAGCGGTGTTTCCTTCAACCCACCTTTCTGAAGCTGGCTTCAAGAAGACTGCCGGTCGAAGTGGGTAGTCGTCATGCCTAAACAAACACTCTTAAGACTTCTGATGCGTTGAGGTGAGGGGAAACATATCGCTGTGTTGTTGAACTAGAGTCCAAGGTTGCGCATCAAGGATTTATATATCGGAGGCGATTAGTTTGTTCCAATGCTTTGGATGTGCGTGAGGTATGACTTGCAGGAAAAACCATTCTCCCACACTGGCTGTTTTCCAACCCCAGCGTATCCCAGCTACTTGCCAGAGAGAGAGAGAGCTCACCTCATTGCCAGGTCATGAGCCACCAAGACGCGACGCGCCAGCGCAAAAAAGACTGTGTGGTAGATACTACAGAGAGTTGTTGAGGCCAACCCCGTGGTATAGGTGGTGGTGGTATGGGTGGTGGTGGTATAGGTGGTGGTGGTATAGGTGGTGGTGGTATAGGTGGTGGTGGTATTGGTGGTGGTGGTGGCGGTGGTGGTGGTGGTGGTGGGAATCGGTCGTCGAGTTCGGGTCTTTGGTGGTGGGAAGGCCACAGATCAAATTGATGGAGGCAGGTGGTTGATATGGAACCACAGCCTGGAGGCAGGTGGTTGAGATGGTTCCATTCGGTGGTTGATATGGGGATGGGTCAAAAACGGTCAAACAAATGGACCCCCACAGCCTGGTAGGTTGACCTATACCTGGTAGGTTGACCTGGTAGGTCTCCTGCTTTTGACCCACAGCGGTGGCAGCAACCAAGTGCTTAACCCGGGTCCCGGCTTTCTGTTGGTTCAAAAGCAAAAACCGTTTCACGAGATGCCCTATCAAGCGGGTTCGCGGGTTCGCGGAACATTCTGTTTGGATCCGTGGCATTTGTTCTGCTTAAATCTGCAGCAAGACGAGAGTGGACCAATGGGGAAAAAGAGTTGGAGATTGTTGGAGCATTGAAGCTCCGGAATCTTAGGCAATTTGGTCCGTAAGATTTCAGAACCTGTTCATTTGCCTAATTGCAGATATCTATATACTCAAATGACGTACTGTATATTTCTGCATCTACCTTCGTCATGTTTCATCAACACGCAAAACCATTTGCTGCAGGCATAGGAGCTTACATCATCTTACTAAGTAATTAGATGCAATTAGTATTACTAGCTACATTGGGCAGTACATTTTTTTCCCAGTCCTTTGGCGTCCGTGAACGGCCCACTCAACCCGCGGCCCAGCACGGCGCACTGAGGCATCAGTGATCGTGGATGTGGCGCGGAACGCCACGGTGTGGTGTTCCATCTTGGGCATCCTGGGGAACAAGTGGTGCGCTGGCTGAAGACGGCCGGACCGGACCGGAGGGTTCTGGATGGTTCTGGGCAGAATGGTCTGGGGTGAGGCGTTTTGTGTTGGTGAAGGTGGAAGAAAGAGTGACTGGAATTTAGAGACTGATTTTTAGGTCCTTCTTGGCTGGTTTAACTGGTTTGTGCGTCCTTGGATTCGACCCTGAATCAGACTTGTCACAAGAACGGTCACCAGCTAAGAAGTTTGGCCTCCTAGAAAGGCAGATCTGTTGTTGCCTCATACTTGGACTGAAAGTCATGCGTATTTGTTCACTGCGTCATTCACTCACATGTTTCAAGAAATGAATCGCACCGTGTAGGGTGCAGTACCATATGCTTTCCTATTGAATTATGCACCAAGAGATTTGGCCGCTTGCTCATGATTTCTTGGTCAGACGGCTTCTCTTCACCGGCAATCAATCCCAAGGTATGCACTCAAGGGTGGCTATTTGTGCATGATGGCCCTGAGCTTAGAAGTGTCGCTCATGGCAGCTATGATTTGCCAATGGCGAAGTTCAGCTTTTAATCATGCAGGAATGGAAGGCAAAGAAATAAGCGGCTACACTTGATTAATGTATTTGAATATATATTTAAAGGGTCATATTTCAACAATTGCTTAATTAAACTATATATCCAATTAATGTATATATATATTAATGTATTAATTAATGTAGTGAAATAGTAGTCCTTTTCTCTTCACTATTCAAAAACATTTCAATCATTGCTGCACCGAACGTAGCGAACATAGCGTCAGATCCCGTGACCATACGTGTCGCTTTCCGGAAAGCTGGCAGATCAGACAGAGAAATCTCTCCCACACCTTCCATCTCATCATTAGATTCTAGAGATGTCTCACATTCCCCTTCCCATCCACTCCTCATCTCCTCATCTCCTCATCTCCTCATCCCATCCTCCTTTCATCCTCCCAACAAAGATTCTCGACTTCTCCATTTTCCCTCCGTCACCCCATGTCACCCCATGTCATGGATGGAAAGCACCGACCCGTTGGACCGGACCCGACTCGGAGGTGGTCACCATGAGCTCGGCGCTGTCGCCCTACGTCACCGATCGCCTCTCCGAGCTCTTCACCGGCGTGTCCGGAGCTCCACCCGCGGACCCTTCCCGCGAGGGGCGGAAGGCGGCGGAAGGTGGGGAGGATTGAGAGATGCGGGTTGACATGGATTGACATATTGCCGGGGGGATTGAGGAATTACAATAAGTGAGAGATATGTTGGACGTGTTCATTTGGTTGGGAGAACATGTACTTGTCTCTTTTTGCGATGTGGTCGTGGTCTTGGTGAGGAGATATCCAGGCCATTCTGTTTACAGGCTGGTCATCCTCCATCAATCAAGGCACGTTTGCCAGGATTGGACGAGTGAATAATCAGATTCGTGTGAGAGAGAGAGAGAGTGTGGGTGCAGATGTCAGCACACTTTTTGCTCAGACACAACCCAGAAAACAGGCATCACAGTTGCATTACAGTGGTTTCAGAGTAGATGGCACTGGCACCCAAAGATGTCCTTCAGATAGGGGTCCATATAGACCACCTTTTGGGGATTGTGCCATCTACTCTGAACCCAAGAAGGCAACGTCCAGTCCATGTCCCTAAAATGTTCCCGTTGTGGTGACGCCTCCAATTAAAAACATCACCTCGTGTTGGATAAGTGTTGGAACATCACCTACACTGCACTTGTCACAGCTCGGTGCTATGAGTGGTGCTATGAAGAATATATTGAATAAACAAAACAGGACATGCATTCCATTCCAATATGAGGAATCCTTTGGATTCAGCTCACTTCACATGAAACGGGCGTGACCGGTGTTCGCTCAAACCTCGGTGTTCGCGACCGACGGACGGAGCTTGGACATTGCGGGTTTTTGTTTGAGCTGGGACGACATGTGAGCCAAGTCCCACTTTTTGGGATCACGGGAATTTTAGAATTGGTTTCATGGAACATCTACAGGAAAGAGATGGTTTCGGGGGTGAAAGCAAGGGTTTCCTGGAGATCTTCACTTAAACCAATTCATTGACTTGATGCTTTAGGACGAAGATGCAGGAAACTCCTTCGTCTTGGATCATGGGAGATCGAAGAATGATGGCCCTGTAAAACTGTTTTTCCTCTCGGATCGTGGATCTGGTTACCCCAACGTTTGGTGGTGCAATCATGGACCCCCATTTGTTCGAGACATCTTGGGGTGCCAGTGCCATTTGAATTGAAACCACTATACAAAAATATACAACATACAATTATATGTGTATATATATGGCAAACTGAGTGGCAAACTGAAATTTTACGACATCTAAAGGCAGTGATAGAACCCCATGCCATGTAGGACCCTCCTCCAGTCCTTTCCAGTCCTTCATTCGGGACCATGAAAATCCCCTCCGTTTTCGCCATGTTCGAAGCCGTGGACCCTCAAGGTCCTTGCTCAAGTCCTTCGACACCTTGCAGATCTCCGGGTCTTCCGGAAGATCCATGGGACAGGCGTCCAAGCGTCGCTGACGATGTCCCGAGTCCGTGCTGACGAAGATGCGAAGGGCGACGGTCACGATGTCCGGATGAAGAAGAACGATGCGACCCTGCAAAACGGTGATGGTTCCATCCATGTGAGGGCCCCTCTTGAGCTGAATGCTTCGGGTCACAACTGTTGTGCTTGGCAAGTAGTTTCACAGTTTCATTGGTGTGTTCATTGGTTTTGTTCATTGTCCAATGTTTTTCCATGTGGAAAGGAGCACATACCATGATGAGTGACTTCCATAGGTCGCTATCCAGTTCATCGCATGACGTCAGGCCATCGCATGGTCAGTGATGCCACTCTCTGCTGGTGCCTACTTCTTCCAGCTCTTGGCGATGCCTGGTTTCCCATTGACGGGACCGAGAGTGGGGCGGGTGGTGGAGGATATCCACGCGCCACAGTGATGGGACGGTTAGTAACCTATACTCCCCAAGAATCTTCCCACACATATTTTGTAAGAGCATGTAAGAATCATCATGTGCTTTTCCCCAGCAACAGTCAATTTGTTCTTTGCGGGTTCAACATGTTGTCAAGAGTATTTTTTTTTGTGGTGTGATGTGGTGTGCTTCTTTTGCTCAGAATGCAAGGCATGTGTTTGGAGTTTGGATTAATAGATCAATTCTGGGACATGCAGTGCCATCATTATTGAAAATATATTAACACCCTTCAGGATACACAAGATCAATCATATTCTCAAGGGGTGCCCTAGCGGGCCCCCAAACCTGCTGAGGTACGCCTCCAGGAGTACCAATTTTTCACAGAAAGAAGTGGGTGTTACCCTTCTTTCGCCTCAGAGTTGAACATTTTCCTCCTGAGGCGATACTTCAACTCTGACACTCTCAGCTACAAGGGGTCCGGCGCCCATGGAGCGTTTCTGGCGAGCGAAACACATGTGCCGACGTGATGTGCTGGACATGGTGTGGTCAGGAAACCACCACGGTTCGGGCCTCATCAACTCACACAACGGGCGTTGGTCAAGACGCCACAAAAGCCCTGGGAATGTCGTTTGTGCCGGGCCGTGGTGTAGTAGAGCGTATCCACACTGGCACAGGGCTACAACGGTACCAACACTCATATACTCGTTGATGTATGCGACATTTGGTTTAGGAGACGGTTCTGGAAATCAAGTTCTACTCAATGCTAATACTGACAACCGCTGAACTCAATGGACTCCTGGATATGTGTATCACTTTTTTGGTCTCAATCATGTAAGTTTTGGCTGACGCCGGACTGACGCTGTCATTCCATACCTTTGCAGGAGTTTAGATTTGACGCGGAATTGCATGTTCTTTTGCAACGCATTGTCCTGAGTGCCTACATTCCCCACATGTTGGCTGTAGGCTGTAGAACTGTAGAACACGTATTTCGATGTATTTTGCATTATTAAGCGCAGAGAATGTGCCACAATCCTTGATAAAGAACTTGAACGAACATTTGGTGGTTGAAGGCCGTCACTTGCACACTTGAATCATCAATTCGATTGCTCACGCGCCCCCCCCCACATGTGTGTCTGCACTTCCGGAATTCCACACCATCATCGCGTTTGATGAGACAGATATAGAAAGATCTTTTAGAATGAGCCAAAACCATCCCAAATCCATTCCCAAGATCCCTTCCATGGCTCGGGGAGAACGCTTTGCTCCGAGGCACGGCGCCTGGACGGCGGATGGCGTCGCCTTCGGCACGGAGGTGACCGCGGTGCGGATCTCGGTGAAGGACATGAAGAGGCGCCGGACTCGGCGCGGCGGAGCGACGGAGCAAGGAAGGCACCAGCTCTTTTGGTTGGGGTGGTTTTTGGGCTAGGTGGTGAATGTGGTGGGTCGGTGAGTGGTGTTGTTGGTGATGGGGAGATGGAGTCAGACTGGGATTGATGTGGGGTGTTATGGGTTCTTGCATAAAAATATTAATATATATATAGATAGATAGATAGATTCTAGATCTTTCGTATTCATAGATACTGTAGCCAAGTTTGGAGGGTGAAAAGGTCCTTGAGAATGATGGGTGGGATTCAAAGCAAACGTTTGAAGTGCACACAGACACAGTTTTCTGGGCAAAATCTTGGCTTATTATGGTATCCACGGAGCGCCTTGTTTAGCCAACTTTTAACCCTATGCGTGACTGTGAGGATTCCAAATGTCCTTGTCTTGTTGAGTTCTTTCAGAGCAACATGTTGTCAGTGAAGCTGTTGCCCAGATTTAGCTTGCCAGGAAGCGCAGCAGAGCCAAATTGCTATGGAACAATGATAGCTGCTTAGTTCAAGCAATGGATAGCACATGATAGCACTGGTTCTTTGATGCATCGAGAAGCCAAACCAGAAACCCTCACATCTTGGTCGAGGAGCCTCTATGAATATTTGCTTAATGTATGTTAATGTTCTTACAGCTGGCAAATGTTGGCCAGCGTATGAAGCATCAGGTGTTCTCATTCTTCGCAGAGAGCAGAGCAGGATTGGTGAGAACAGTAAGAACATTACGAGAA